TTTTATACCTCTCAGAATACAGCTGAAAAAAGTATATTTTTGTATCGTTTTTTTCATACACTCCACTGTGAGAACAACAGAAAATGCCTCATAGTTTTTGCTACACTTTAAAAATGGTCTCAAATTTATGTACGTTCACATGCAAGACTTTTCCTAACATTAATCATTGTATGTCAAATACATATTTCGTGAATAGATAAACTTGTTCAGATTTCTGTTAATGTGATATTTGTCCACCAAAAGTGTCGTTCTGATAAAGTGTCAGCTATTTTTATGTGTAGTTTTTAACCCATATTTAGCAAAAGTTAGGTATTATTTGATAGGGTTTTTTTTGTTTTTTTACAAACGTTGCAATTGTTTTACGCTGGGTTAAAAACCAGTCCAAGTTAGTTTAAGCTGGTCTTTCAGCCTGACCAAGCTGGCCCAAAGTGCCCAAAAGCCAGCTAAAACCAGGCTGAGAGACCAGCTAAAACATTTTTCCCCATTCAGCAGGGTTTATCTAAGGCCAACCAGTCATCAGGAACATGATTGATTAATTCCTCTCGATTTGGACAGATTATTCTCTTAATTAACTTCCTCGATAATTACAAGACCAAAACTGACTCCATATACTGCAGGAAATCAGAGCACGTTCCCAAGGGGGTTGTACGGCACTGAACGCTTGAGACTTTAAGTGACAATGGAAGTTCTGAAGAGTGACGCTTGAATACAACTCTCTCCCTCTCAAACGCTCTTCTAATTGGCCGTGACACGCCGCATATGCCAATGCAGCTCAACAGTCTTTAATCTTACAGATGTTTCTAGAAGTCCCTCAGTGGCTCCTTCAGCTGCCCCAAGTTAAACATCAAGGCATATACACACCCACCCTCACGCAGACTCGCAGCTAACTTTCCGACTGCAGTGGCTGCTAGCATGGGGTGAAAGAGGGAAAGACAAAGAAAAAGCAAGGCGAGGGAAAAGAGTACAGGGAGGGTTGAACTGAGGTCATTTCAACAGAAATGCTGTGAAGAAACTGCAGGGTGTGGAAGGGAAAATCATTAAGAGCTTGAAGCATTCAAAAACACTTCCGTGAATGTCCATTAGAGGTCATTAAATACAAAAAGTAATTTTTTTATAAATATAGTTTTTAAAGAAGACTCTTATGCTCACCAATGCTGCATTTATTTG